AAAAAAAAATAAAACTATAAGCTGATCTCTGAGTTTTGTGTGATCACATCTCCTCTTTCTTTTTATTATACTGGCCAAAACTTTTGAAAAATATAAAGCAAGAAAATGCTTTCGTGCATTCCAACAAGCATGTGTCTTTTGTTGATGTTAAGTGTTCTTTAGAAACATTATGGTCTTTTAAAAACTTTGTTTCAAAAGCTTTTCAGTGGAAAAGGATGTGAACTTTTATCAGTTGTCTCTTAGACTCATAATCACTTTTTATTCTGAATTATTAATATTATGAATTGTGGACTGAGAAGATAGCTCAGTGGTCTAAGTGCCTACCTGGCAAGAGCAAGGACCTGCGTTTGATCCCTGGTACCGAATGCCATGCCGCCATGCTGGCCACTGAAAATAAGCGTGGTGGTACAGGCCTGTAATCTCAGCACTGGGGAGGCTGAGACAGAAGGATCGCTACAAGTCTGAGCTGTGTAGCAAAACTCTGTACCAAGTAAGTAAGATTTAAAAAGAAAAATTACGAATTACACAAAATATTCTTACATTTCTGAAGTAAACTCTGCTCTGGATGTTGTTGTTGTTATTACTAGGTTTTTGTCTTTTTAATACAGGGTTTCACTATGCAGTACAAGCTGGCCTTGAACTCACTTTGTAGGCAAGGCTGGCCTCAAACTCAGCGATCCTCCTGCCTCGGCCTCCAAAGTGCCGGAATTACAGGTGTGTACCACCATGCCCTGGATGTTGTATTATTTTTTAATATCATGCTTGGTTCTACTTTTTTATTTAGAATAATATTTGTAATTGGGTTTGGGGTAGTAGATCAGTGATAGAGTGTTTAGGACACATACAGGGCTCCAAATTGAATAAAAAATTATTATAAAACATAATTGTCCATCATTACAATTGTTTTTGTGACTTTCTAATGAATTTTAGTGTCCAAATAGTTTAAAAATGAACAGTAGAAGTTTAAATTATTCAGAAATTGGTTCTCAGAGGTGCAGTGAACTTTTCAGAAGCAAATTTAATTAGTGGTATTAGGACCTTAGGCTGAATCTTTCACAGGGTTGGAGCCATACTTCGTTTCCTTCAAGCCTTGGGGTTGCCTGGGCTTGTGGTATGGGAATTGAGAGGACACAACTGGTAGGGATATATTTTGGGTAGATAAACCTTTAAAATATTCCGCTGTGGGCCAGTGAGATAGCTCACAGTCCAAAGTGCCTGCTTCGGCAAGCTTAGGAAAGTGCAGGGACCGCAGTTCAATCCCCAGCCCTGAGCTGGACACACACACACACACACACACACACACACACACACAATTCTGTTGTGTCTCCAAATAATAGGAAGGGAACTGAAAATAGCTGCATAAATTTTAGAGGTAATTTTTTTCTTATTATTCCTGATTTAGGACCACTCAGTTAAAGAGTCAGTATGAAAAGAATAGTGCAGATGAGTGTTTAGGCCAAGAGTCATTAACTGATGGCTAATAACTGCACAAGAACAGTGTGTATTTCTAGTCCTACTGCCACAAACCAAGAGCTAGTGAGCTTTAACACACAGGGAGTACTACTATAATTTTGACAAATGGCTACTGCTTTCAGACTCAAAACTTCACATGAAGCCATCTGCGCCCCAGCTTTACCTTTAACACACCAGCCACTGGCTGAGGCAGCGCTGCCCCCTCTGGCTCTGTCTTCATGGAAAATAACTTGTCTGGGCTTCATGAGTTGTATAGGTTTGTAGCTAATGATGATCCCACTTCTCAGTTTGATGAGGAAATGTGACGGACCTGAACCTTAAGCATTTTCGTGGAAGAGGTGTCAGTGACACTCACCCATCCTCGTCAAGGTGCCCAGTGGCTGTGGCCAAGAACTCGGTCTGTCAGGTGATGACCCCTGGTGTGCAAAGCCCACAGCACTCCCCGTGGTGGAGAGCCTAGTGCAGGAACACCTTCCTCTGCATCATCCTTTCAGGCACTGGCCACAGCTGTAGACACGGTG